TATTTAACGTAACCGTCTTTCACAATAGCTATATTTTATTTTCGAAGCAACATAAAGTTATTTAACGAAAAGAATTATTTTTTTTTACTTCGAGATAGTACGTGAACTTCTTTTTCTATATGTAAAATTGTAGTTTTATAACTCAACATGCCGAAAATTTTGTCTTCTTCAAAAAGCAATATGTTTTCACTTTTAAGAACTCAAGTCAACAGGGTAGCACAAAAAATACTCCTCCTCTTTTTCATTGTCCTGTATTTCTTGTTCGCTCGCAGGTGCTAGAGATCTTCTCTTTTCACTTCAAGCTTAGGGAATTCTGGAAGGAAAAATAAACTGCTGAAAATCCCTTGGATAACCACGCTTAGACAGCTGATTTGTCAAAGAGACAGTAGAATATCTTCTTGTAGGAACTATGGGTACATCTTTTGAAATTTGATGAATTTTTTATTCTATCTTTGAAATTAGTCAGAAAGATAGGGTATAGATCAGAGTAGCATCTACAATGTATACAAAATGCGGAGGTAATTATTAAGTAATAATAAATACGTTAAGTAAATAATGTAAACTACTAGCCATATATGAATTCAAATAAAGCTGAATACAAATTATATTCTGATAGATTATACATCCCATACATGTATATTTAGTACCAAATATCTACAAATAAAATAAAAATTTTATGAAAATAGTTTTAATACAAACAAGTGATAGGAAGACTTCGTAAATTAAACTATAATTTTGAATGTGATCCAGCTAAAAGTACAATTAGTAAATTTCTCATTGTATTTTAAATAAACCAAATGTAAAATGTTTCACCCCTTTAAGTGCAAAATTGGAAGTATGGGTAAAGAATTTGCTGACGTAGATCATATTTTATTGCTAACTGCTAAGGAATAGATTTTCATCAGATTTAATGAGAAACAGCAATGAGGATTCTGCATGAGTTATAATAATATTAGTTTTAAATTAGACAGTCTGAATTCCTGAAACTTTTTTCATTATTTTGAGAAGGTTATTTTACATACATTCTTCATGACACAATTTTTAAGCTCTAAAATGTTCAAGATGCACTAGAGTAAATTAAAGTTCTTACTTAAAATAAAACATTACAGAGATATACTGAATTTCACTCTTTATGTCAGACCTGTAAAGGAAAGGTTTTTTTCATTTTTTTTTATTTTATGAAATATGGCACATAAAATATTTAAATGAAACAAATAATAATATTAAAAGATAGTTAAATACTTCTAGTTTTTAATCATTTTGATGTGTTTGTGGTTTTAAATTACAAAATCTTTTAATGATATACACTAATTTTTTAACAGTGAATTCTTAAATTTCTCCTATATTATGTTATTCCAATAAAGGTCATTAACAAATAATAGTCTAATCCACTAAAATCGCTTTTTGAAAAATTAACATCCGTGATATGGTTTAAAAATGTCAAGGTATCCTCATAATGTTACATTAATATTTCTTGCATTATTCATTAATATTTCTTGCATTATTCTCTCCTTAAATTTTAAGTACTTTTAAACAGACTTTGTGTAAATTTACTTCCGCATTTTGGTTTAATTCATAAAATAATAATAATAAAAAACTTTAATATTCATACTTAACAGTTTTTTTTCGTTTTCTCAACTGGTAAAATCATCATACGCAATCGATATATTTGCCCCTGAATAGACTGCAAATTTATCTCACCCCAACGTCCAGGAAGCAAGTTGGGTACAATATTTGAGAAGAGTTTTGAAGCCAAAAGTATGAGAGGCAAAACCAGTGCAAGAAGTTCATAGTTTTCATATGACAAACAACTTTTTTATTCCGCTTTTATAGAACTTTGAGTTACAGAATAATATAAAAATATATGTATATTTTCGCAACAAAAGCGTCTATTTCAATACAGCACTCCAACCTATGTCTGGAATATTTGGTTCCATTTCTAGATATACTCCATTTATTCCCATTTCTATATTTTGTATTAGTATATGTAACTCAAGATAGCATGTTATTTGTTCCTTTGCAATAAGCAGTGTTGGCAACAAATATTTGGTTATATGTAATTAATTAATTCTTCATATAATTTTCAACCGGAAAGTTGTTATTATAACTGTCTATACGAAATTCAGCAATTATTTTTCTGTATAGAAATTTCGCATAGAAACCTTCTTTTATTTAATGAAAACCAGAAAATTTGGTATTAAAAATCAAGGATTTCATAAAAATTGTTTCGAAACACTAGAACGTAATTTTACCTCATTTCTCTGTTATTATGTTATATTTTCATCTTTACATATCATTTAATTTTGTGGAGATATTAGGTTATTTCAATGCAGGAGATGTAAAATGTGTGCAATGCCCTCACCGGGACTCGAACCTAGACCTCTCGAATACGTGTCGATCGTCCTACCGTTACTCCAGTACCTTATATCCTTTACATAACAAGCTTGAATCGTCAACATTGTTTAGCAAGTTAGGGTTTTCTGAGAACCTCTTGGTATTTTAAATTTTCTCAACGTTTTAGTGTGAAAGGTTATTCAAATTCGGTCCTTTGTATGCCTAAAAATATATTTAAGAAAAATAAGCATTGTTGGCAACGAATATTTGGTTTATGTTAAAAGTAATTAGTTCTTCATATAATTTTGTACTTTTGTTTTGTGAACTGAATACATAATATTAATAGTATGCATTTTCTGGGATGATGACATTGAGAAGTGTATTTTCTCTATTCGATTATATGCAGTATAATACTTTTGCAGTACAATATCCATGTAAAACTATATAGTGTATTGTGAACGTTCATAATATACTGTAAAACAACATAATTCAGTATATATTATTATATAAAACCTGTTATTTAATTTCCCAGTAACAAATGGCACAGATTCATTTGTTGCCCTCGCTACAATAGTATAATTAAGTGTACAGTATTATGTAAAATCAGTTATCTAAATTCACGAAAACAAATGGTGCAGGTTCATTTGTTACTCTCTCTACCGTCTTTAGCATGTCACGGTAGTGCTGGTCTTCCTGTGGCAAAACTGGCGTACTCTTCACGGATAAGTTTCCATTAAATATCTATAATGATTTCCGAAGAACAATGATATAGGCAGAGCCAGGGAAACGCTATCGGGCACCAAATTTCATCGAAAGAGACCATTAGAGAGGAGGAGGCTTACTTGCATGGGCTGGAATTGCAACGAACGGCGGCACAGACCCTTACGTGATGATTGGTGGTTCCGTCACAGCCGTCCGATATCGCGATGAAGTTCTGCACCTTCTGTGTTTTTATTGCTGGAATGGGTACCGACGTTATACTTATGGATGATAACACCCGCCCGTATAAAGCTCGGGTAGTGAGAAGTTATCTGTATATTGAAAAAATTCCACATTTGCCGTGGCCTGATGGATTAGCGAACCTACATCCCATAGAGCATTCGTGGGACATGTTGCGAAGACGGGTAGCAATTTACAGTGTGCCGCTAGGCAGCTTACACGAGCCCCGACATGCATTTCTACAGAAATGCCCGCTACTGTCACAATAAGCGATAAACGACAGTATTGCCAGCTTGCCTAGCGGTTGTCAAGCATGCATTTCGGCTAGAGAGTATCATAGCCAGCCGTTAATAGCCTGATGTTTCCCATTGCATTTTTTTCCAACCCATTCCCCTCCCCAGGGGGTCGACGTAAAGAATTCTGGGAAGCTAATGGCTAGGATCTGTACCTAGGTAGTCTCGACCATTGGGGTATAAAATTTCAGAACTTGGTGTTTCTGATGGCCCTGAGAAAGTTAATTTATTGGCCGGCCTCGGGGTCTGGCACGTCCTGAGGGTGCGGCTCTAGTAGCCCGGGTTTGCTGGATAATGTCCCACTGCGACGGGCAAGCCCGAGCGACTGGTAGGTAGCAAATTAAAGAACAGTGCCGTCTAGGGATTTCTCCTGGGCTGTGCGCCTCTCTCTCTCGGGCCAGAGCGGAGGTTGAACCTCCGTATCTGGTTCCATGAGTGGGAGGACCTGCATTGTGATCAGTTTCACGGAGCAGGGAATGCCTAAAGGTTGTTGTTGTTCCTACCCATTTGGTCTTTCGCGATGTGACGGTTGTAATGCATGTGTTTTTGTATATCTTTGCTTTATATTTTGCTATGTGGTCTAGTAATGCCACACCAAATTCCTGGATCAATTTCACAGCTTATCTATTAAATAGTTCTTGTTTCAATCCGTGTTTTGCCTTTGTTTCTAATATTTTAAGCAGGAATTATTATTTTTAATGTTCTGAGAATTTAAATTATTTATTAAGTGTCACGTTCTTGACGCTTATGCCATATAAATTTCAATTCAACAGCGAAATCACAAAATATTTAAGAATTTCATATCTAGAATTTTGTACAGATAGTCTCGCGAAAGCAAATATCGATTCTTATTAAAATCAGTACATGCCATTGCGTTTGTTTAATACTGTTACTCGAGGCTGGTAAAATTTTGCGCAATTCATCTTGAACCAAAGTAAGAGAGAAAAAAAAAAACAGTCTATCTGAAATATCGAAAAACTACCCCATCCCCTTAAATCAAACATTTTTACTCTTCGTAAATCCTTGGCAACGTGGGGTACTTTAGTTACTAAATAATTAAAAAAATATTTCTAACATCATAGTTACGTTACAAATTTCCGTTATTTGAAAGTAATAAACAGACATTTTAATAATTTATCGTTATTTTCCTCTTTTAAAAATTTTAAATAAACACAATTTTTAATGTATTTAACACAATTTAATACAATTTATAATACAATCAGTTATTATTTCAAGTAGCATTTTCACCATTAATATCATTTACGAAAAATATTGTTGCGAACTACGTACAGAATAATCGTTTATGCTCAGCCTAATTATGAATTATTTTTTTTCAAACTTTTATTTTATTTAGATGGTAACGTGCCTTTTAATACTATTCGCTTCATACGATTTTACAAATAGAAATGAATTAATCAGCAGTTTAAGAATGAAGCAAATTATTTTATAACCACCATAAAACCTATTTCAATGGTTATTATCGATTTAAATTTTTACACTTGGAACAGCTTTAGAGTTTATTTTCGGTTTTATTTATAATGTAAGTATTTATTTTGTTATTCAGCAACAATAGATGCCTTTTTGTATCTAAATAGGGAAAGGGAATATTTGCATTATTTACAAGTATGGTTTATTATTTTGAAAATTTTGCTAACTACTATTTCAATAGAAATTTTTATGACTAATATTTTATTTAAAGCACGTACGTAAAGCATGAGTAAATATTTTGCGTTGCGAAAAATAAATAACGGACGACTTAAAGTTCAATAAAATTGGCATAATAAATTAACTTAAATAAATATCAGTAATTCAATTTCATTAATTTGTTAGACATGCTTGCTTTACGCTGCAGGAACGCCAATGTAAAGATATCTAAAGGTATTAAATTTGATCTTAAAGAATAAAAATTATTTAAGAACATTTAATATCATATTTAACTGCTTTAATGTAATTGTTTTATTCTTAATTTAAAATGTTTATGTAGCAAAGAGTTTAGGAATATTTATAAATTTTATGTATCTGAATTTTCTATATCGCATCATGCAACACAGTGATTTTAAAGAAATTATTAGGAATTTCTTCCCTTTCGAGTTCAAGAATTGGTTACAGAAAAGCGGGTAAACAGTAAATATCCATGAAGACCCAACCAAAGCCTAATGCCGCGAAGCACTTGTATCCACATGACCACCAATTGTTGGAGCTATAGGATTTGAGGGAGCAGGGACAAGACTATCTCAGAAGCACAGACAGGAAGGTCAACAAAATTTGCTGTGAATGCAAAAGATTTAATTGCGAAATATCGCTTGTTGTGACAGTAGCGGGCATTGCGGCACATTGCAAATTGCTATCCGTCGTCGCAACATATCCCACGCATGCTCAATGGGATCTAGGTCCGCTAATCTCTCAGGCCATGGCAAATGTGGAATGTTTTTAATAACCAGATAACTTCGCACCACTCGAGCTCTATACGAGCGGGCGTTATCATCCATAAGTATCGCCTCTATACCCATTCTAGCAATAAAAGCACAGAGGGTGCAGAACTTCATCGCGATATCGAACGGCTGTGATGGAACCACCAGTCATCACGTAGAGGTGCTGCCGTTCGTTGCAATCCCAGTCCATGCAAGTAAGCCTCCTCCTCTGCAATGGTCTCTTTCGAAGAAGTTTGACTCCTGATAGCGTGTCCCTGGCTCTGCCTGTATCATTGCCCTTTGGAAATCGTTCTGGATATTTAATTGAAACTCATCCGTTTGTTTAATTTCAACAGCTTTGCTATTTAGCTATCGGTTTGTTAGAACTTATTGTTTACTGTTCTCCGTTTATTTTATTTTAAATATCTATCAATATATCTACATCTTTTTATATGTATATATATACATATGTGTGTGTGTGCTTGATCGGATAGTCAGTTTGGATTAGTGTCCGTAAGAGCAAGAGCAGTAATCAGATTACTTAGTGCTCCTGGCTGCTATATCGTTCGCTGAGTTTGGGTTCGAATCCAGGAGGAACCATAGATAATTGTTAATGTATAGTATCTATGCGACATGGGACTGTCAAAATTCACGGATGACGAAAGTTTATCGAGAGGCTTAGTGTTTAAAGTTTAGTGACGAAAGTTTATCAAGAGGGAAAGAGGAGTGGTAGACCCTCGGACACGTTGCTTTGGGCGCTCTTCATCAAAATTGGGACGGAGATGAGAAAAGTCATACTCTTACTTATATGGTAGTCAAGGGCCATGCCAACAGTAGCTGCAGTGTTGCGCTTCTTGCCACGATAAAATTCGTAGGTTTATTGTGCTTAAGTCAAACAAATAAGCCATATATGTGTGTGAGTCTGCAAACTTTAATGTAGATAAAAAAATTTAATGAAACAATGTAAATAAAAAAAACTACGTCCAAAGGAACGTTTTTTTAACGTTTTGTGTGTTACCTTTATTTACTGAGTATCATCTTCGCTCTTAAATTTAATCTTTAATTCAGTTTAATAGCAATGTCCCAAGATAATTTTAAAATGAGCCTATCTTTAGAATTTCCGATACACAGTTCCGCGCGCTGGAGATAAAAAGGGTTTTTCCCCCCCGTAGACTGTTGCCATTGCGCACTTTTAAGTCGTTGAATTCGTTACTCAAAAATTCGTTAAAGTTTTACAAAATATGAAATCGATAATAAAACAAATTCCAAATTTCAAATTTAGTCTTCTACATGCCCATATTTGTAGGAGGATTACGTCATTCAAAATTTGATGGATCTATGTACCGTTGTTTAATCACAATGCAAGAAATATACATACATTTATGCAGATTTTTCATTACTTAATTTCTTCAAATAAAATGCAGGACTCTGACATTTGGTGGCAACAGTTTGAAAAGTGAAACGGACATTTATAGTGATTGAACGCAAAATCGCAAAACGAAAACAATAGTCCTTCAAGGACAAAGACCCTGTGGACTAATAATTTAAACTACAAGATACTTTTTTGTTGCTAGAAATAGTTATGTGACGTAATGTATGTTTTTTACATTTGCAACTTGGAAAATCAATGAAATATCCTTATTCAGTACGTGAATTCATAATAATTTTATTTCTTGTTTCGAAGGTAACCTGCACTAAACGAAAAGAGTAGCTCTTGAAATGAATCTTCGGGCATTTATGAAATATCTCTTTCCATTCTTAAAGCTCTAGAATTCTACGGAACGCTTCTGAAATTAATGAAATCTCGAATCTTTTAAGCTTTCTATAAGAAGTGGAATCCAAGAAAAGATCATATATTTTTAGTTTATTGTTGTAAGGTTTGAAGTTATGGTTTTCAAACTCGAAACGTGCAAGAGTATAAAATAGTATCTACAAAAACAAAGTCTGCAAAAATCAATCATTTTAAAATCTTATGTTCGGTTCATGTCTCTACACGCAAAACCCCCACATAATCCAGCTGGACTTCCTGGGCTTTTGTTCTCCTTGGAAATTCTGAACTCTTCTTTCAAAGCAACAGATGCAATATTTTTACACTCTGGAAACAAAAATTGCGGCCCTCAAAGGCAAATGGATGGTCCTTTACGAATGATAAATAACTCCAAATCCAATGTTTTCACGACAGGGGGTTGGGCTGAAGACCAATCAAAGGACGCCTTCGAGACGTCACTAACATCCATCACTCCCGAAGTATGAGTGTGTGTTTCGACGGATGGATGGATTGGAGGCGGGGCACCAAAACCCTAGGTGGACCTCTAGGGAAATCTTTAGAATATCGACGGATAATCCGTCTTAGCTGGAACCTTGACGGTTTCTCAACTTATTTTTTATTACACGTCTCTTGAACTGAATCGCTGTTTAATATGAGTGAAGGATTACTATAATTTATTTTGTGACTCCAAATATCTCGGATTTTGAATTATGAGTAGGTATAGCAAATTCTTTTTTTTAAATTGAAAATCCCAATACTGAATTCCAGTACTAATTTAAATAATGAATTCCTTATAATGAAATATGTTTGCAACTACTATAGTGATTCATAAAAGTAGTTTTTCTTAATTGGCTATCTTTTGAATATGGTTTATTTGATTAATACATAGTTTTATACTAAAAAAGAAAACATTTTTTTTCTAGCGCAATTAAAAGTTATGGGACGAATTCTTTGCTTGATGACGAGTAAAGGATAATTTAATAAAAAGCGTTAAAAGCGTCTTTTATTCATTAGCTTAATGGTGAAAATGTTTATAAAACTTAATCATTAAAATGCATTATAAATTGCGCAAAATATGGAATGTTATTAAACAAGTAAAAATATTAAAAATACCCAGCCTGCCTTCATAATATACGTAATGGCTTTCTTAAAAGCATCGCCAAAGACTGTATAAAAACTGCCACGCCATATGGTCTTGTCTGCTACTTTTATTTTATGTGCAAAGTATATATAATCTTTTGAGCGCGTGCTGCAACGCTTTCATGCTTTTGCGAGGCTTGAAAACAAAGCTTATTATCGCCTTGATTTTAATACACGGTAGGCAAAACTGCGTATTTCGTTTGCTACAAATTAATGAACTATTGAGTGTAATTAATTAATTCACGTTTGCTACTTGTAATTCTATGTGAAATATAATTTGCTGTGCAGAGACATTAGGTATTTTTTGGAAGCAGGAGACTTGAAAATTGAGCAAAAACCTTCGCCGGGAATCGAACCACGCACCTCTGGAATACCGGCCCAGCGTGCAGACCACCACACCACGAAGGCACGCTAGGAAGCGGAAGAAATACCTTAGAGCTGTTCTATAATTTTTAGACTATTGTTAACTAAAATAGAAATTACATGTTTAAAATTATTAGTATACATATTGTTACGAAATGTCCAGCCGCGGTAAGATAGCTTCCCCGCAAAGCAGGTATAGGGTTGCCAGAAAATGACAAAGAAAGACAGAGTTGCCATATTTGGCGCTATATCGCCTATTTGGCGACAAAATTGGCGATATGCCATAGATGGAGGGAGAACCTTCTGGAACGAATTCTTAACAGTTTGGCCCAGAATGCTTTCGAACGCAAGCCAAAAGCTATATAAACCCTGCTGGTATACGCAGAGTCAGTCAATTAATAGTCAGTGAGCGAGTCTTGTATTCTAGTGCCGAGTTGGTCGTCGAGTGCACCGAGAGAGTCTGTTAGTGTATCGCGAGTTAGCGCATCGTCGAGTTTTATCTTAGAGTCTGTTGAACTTCGAGAATGACCGAACCGAGTCGGGAGTTGTATCGTCGACTGCATCACGAGTTGTAACGAGTCTCGAGAGTAAGTAGAGTTCCGAGAACGACCGAGGAGAGTCGGGAGCTGTTTTTACCGTTATAGCCTGATAGCCTGAAAGCTGAGCTCCTGATTGTAAATCTGCTTTTGGAGCTGTCCTGAATAATACTATCTAATAAATTGTGTTTCGATACTTTATTAAGTGTCGTCGTTATTCACTCCATATCCACGAACCCGTACATAATAAAATCGTAAAAATTTTTTCCCTAAGGTATCTACTGGAACTATTTGTGAAAGACAGTTAAAACATAACACTTCT